AACAATGATGGCCATGGCGGGTGTAGGGGAAGAGACAGAGACAGATGGATCCATGACAATTTGGCCGTCCTTGAGCCACGCAAGTAAAGGTGTTGGGGACGACTGAGCAATGCATGACTGCTGGAAAGTATCACCCTCCAAAACTTCCAATGTATCCATCAACGGGATAATACGTGGGAGGTCTGCAAGTGTTTAAAGGTTGCCTACTGAGTGTTTCTTATTATGTTACTGTTTAATTCCTTCCACAAACAACAACTAAGGGTCCATTATTACTGCATTACAGTATTCCTTCCATATACAACAAGTTATACCAAAATTATCAAAAACTGACCTTACCACATGCACGAAGTCATATCATTTGTAAGTGATTGTTCAGTGTAATTTTGATTCCCTCTTCTGTACTGTATATCTCTACAACACAAACCATTTTCCAAGGCAATATCTCAACTTACAATGAGAATTAAATATAAAAATTAATTCAATACATTTTCTCAATGACTTATATTTCTCGTACCTGTCGATGTACTCCTTAAGGTTACGTGGTTTTAGATACATTTCTATTCATTTGTAAAATACAGCATCACTATTGTGTCAGTTACCCCATGCATTTACAGCAAAATCCCATTCTAACAAAATTATTCTTCTCTGAACATTCCCTTTCTCCTAAGAGCCAAATTTTTTTTAACAAAACTGATAATTTCCTGACCCAAAAATATCTTAATTTGGCACCACATATCAGTTGTGTTTTAACCAGCTTGGTGTTAGTGCTTCATGGCATTAACCCAAATTTGAAGACTAAAGATGCATCCCTTTGTCACCTACAATATCCAAAAAAATCAGTGGCTGAAGAAGAGAGATATGTTAATAATAAACAAGGAAATAGATACAATGTAATGACTGGATGCATGTGAGACTGAAAATAAACTCATATATGAATATGGAATTGGAATGACCAATGTCTATGATTTGAAAGCCAATAAGCAACAGATATTAATTTTGTACAGTGAAACTGAATCAAACAAAGAACTTGAAAAGTGGAAATATAGGAAAATAAAGACTTCAAGTTCCTGATTACTTCAGTCAACTATAAAATTCTGGTAAATCTGGCAGCATGTCAGGTGGCCTATGCGCGCGCACACGCACACACACACACACACACCAATAGGCCAGTGCTAACTTATTTCATTGTACGTACTGCAATACAGGGGGTCCCTGGGTTACGAACAGGTTCCGCTCCTGAGGACATTCTTAAGTCAGATTTGTATATAAGTCGGAACACGTGCTATGTGCATACCGTAAATACAGAACAATGTTTAAAATCCCACTATATCATAGCCTAAGTCTTTATATACATCCAAAATCACTTAATTTAAGACAAACAAAGAAATAGAATGACAAAATACAGTAAATGAAGGTAAAAAATAAGTCATCAGGTGAATACAAAAATTTCAAGTTTAACCCCGTTTGTATCGGCGGGCATTCGTAAGTCGGATGTTTGTAAGTAGGGGACCCCCTGTATATTATAATCAATTAATAAGTGCAATATACCTTTTAAGGTCAGTCTCTTACACATGATAAAATGTTAATTAAAGCATACTCCTATTTACATAGTGCATTTTTATCAAATTTTCATGTTCAGCACTGCACAAGAGTAACACTGTACTACTGTGTAAATTTTATCAAAGGTGAAATGAAAGAAACCATCAAAGTTTCATTAGAATGGGATTTTGCTGTACAGTACTTGGTTTGCCGACCTTGTGAACTACAAATGTTTTCAACTTGTTTGTGATTATTAACTCACCATTATTATGTCCATTAATAATTTGGTGATCTTAAGACCAATCTTTATACTGTATTCAGGTCTCTTAATCTGAATTTTATACTTAAATCTGTACTTGTGCTTTTATTTCTGAATAAATATTTACAATCTAAACCAATCCTTTTCACTATGACTGCACACAATGTTACTTCTTTACTGCTTAATGATGTTGACTTACTCTGGATACAATTTAAAGCTCTTGCACTAATTCTTATATCAAATAACAAGTTTCAAACTATTTTCATTTTGACATTTCACTGTAAAATTTTAGCGTTGTAAGTCTTTTACCATTATCTTGCAAGTGCCAAGAATCAAAAACAAATAAACAATCTTCCTTCATTCACTCACTCTCTCTCTCTCTGACTGCTGCAACACTTCTGACTGACTTAAACTTCATATAACTCTGCTCCACTAAAACAACAAATACCTAACCTAGATACACCCTCTGGCATATTACCCAGTAATCTTTGAGTCCACACAACTACACTAAGACCTTTACGAGCTCACTCCCTTTATATCACATCTTCATTTGTAGTCTGTATTGTACTGTATTATAATCCTTCATTCATCCACCCAACAAGACTATCTACACATTCTCCATAGGAACAGTTTTAACTACTGTATTAACATAAAGTATGAGGTTTTTTTCCATCTTAGGTTAATGGTACTGATCTGGGAAAACAATATGTGAACAACAATACCTTTAGTGCCATTTACCAGAAGTGTGAGAAATATTGTAACTATCTTAGTGAACCACCAATGAGCACAAATGATCCAACATGTGTAATAATTTCAAGAAGTAGACTGTAGGAGGGTAAATGTTAGGAAGAAAAATGTTAAGAGTATAGTAAGTTGAAGATGTTGCAGGATGCATGATGCAGCATGGAAAACATTACTTTAGCTATGATGTTAGTCTACCAGTTACTTATCTGATTGTATTATACTGTAATACTTTTGGCTATAAAGTACATCAAGCAGTTGCCATCTACTGTACTTGAACTATATTACTTCTGATTATAAAGCAAGTGACACTTTTGCCATAAGCTTATAATACTGACTCTGGTTATACAGCATGTTAAGCAGTTGTCACATGCTTGTACTGTTTCTTTGCCTATGAAGTAAGGCAAGCTACTACACTGCTTGTATTAAACACTAAGAATGCTTGGAAAGGATATAGGCTGCCTGAGGTAGAATACACAATGGCTGTGATTGAAAGAAAAATAGTGAATCAAGAGGAAACAAGAGGGACGAGAAAAGGGAAAGGAATAATGTACAGCACAGTACTTGGAAAGGAGTGTATCAGATGTGAGAATGTGTTGATGCACACCCAACCACCACATGGTCGGCAGCGTATACAACCAAAAACAAACTGACCATCAATGGGAGGAACACTTGTCCCACATCAGCATTTCTACAATTAAACTGAATAAAATATGTTTTCCATGGTAATGTTGGCATAAACAAACAGGATAATAAGTTTAAAGTGTTTGGTGTTTATGGAGTTGCAAATTTTATATACAATGGAGGTGATTTTCAGTTTCTGAGTAATATGGTGGAAAACAATAAAACCCCATAATTCTATATAGAAACAAAGTGACAGAATAAAGAACAAAGCAAAAAAAAAAAAGGGTTAAAAAAGCAAATATGTATCAGAACCGATAGGCATAAAATAAAACCTTTAACTCTAAGCTTGACAGTCTTGGTGGCTCGCCCGGCAGGATTTGAGGCCACGCACGTGTAATTCCCAGCATGTTTTTGGTGGGATTGAGAAATGATGAGGAGCGACATCATGGGTGAGGGATAACTCACAGACACAGACGTATCGGTAAGTAATGAACCATCTTTAAGCCAGGTAATGGAGGGCGATGGATCAGACTGAGCCACACAAGTTATTTGGAAGATATATCCCGCAAACACCTCAGATTCTGGAGGTATTGGTAGGATTTGTGGAAGCTCTGAAATTGTTAACAAGTAGGGAATGGGAGATGTTATTGTTTATCACTTGCCCAAAAAATACCCTGTGTGGATATTTCTTATTGTTTTTCTTAAAATTGGTCAAAATTCCAACACAATTTTATTTGTAGATTAAGGAAAGACTGAAAACCTAGGATTTCTAAAAATGAGGAATCATTAACCTTTCCAGGTGAAACTATCATCCAAGCTGAACTAAATAAGAACATTTATTCCTCAACATAATAATAAAAAAAAGGCAATCTTTTGACTGTTTTACGGTTCACTATGACAAGTGATATCACTGACTCTGCACACAGGTAAAAAATTCCCAAGCCTTAAGGCTCATACCTGAACAAATACTAGCACAGTACGGGATCTATTGTGGGAAAAAAAGGTAAGGACTTGTCAACACCTTTGTCTCTCTAAAGCATTAATTACAACAAGCAAAACAAAATACATAATAAAAATAAATTTATATGGATTAATTTGGGAAATGGCTTTTATACATGAATTAAAAAAATATTTATTCTATGCCAAAAAAATTTACAGTAATTTTCAGTTATCAATATTCATAAAAGTCAAGGGAAAAATTAATTGAAAAATATAGGTTTCAATAGTTAAGATCTTAAGAAACTAAATATAAGAAAATTAGGACAGGTTCATGAAGAAATGAAAAAAATACAAAAAACAAAAATATTTTATCGTGTGACAAAATTTTGACCCATGCATTCTGAATTGTTTGTAAATTAAGAACTCAGATCATGATGCTTGATTTAGGGTATTTCATTAATACCAAAATGCTATAGCTAAAGATGATGAAGATGTGGTATAGATGAAGAAAGATTTTTACTCATTCCCTTGTGGGGAATTTTCTAAAATGCACTGAGAAGCCCCATTTTCACAGTTATTCTTTTTTAATTCTTGGTCATTTTCACTTCTATATGAAGTTCATTCTCTTTCATGCTGATTAGTCAGATCCACTTCCATTATTAGCTATTAGTTTCTTCAGAGGTATTTTTGTTCTAATGGTATAATTTTGCATCGGCATATTTATCCAGACTTGCATAAAACGGTTCATTTTTGTACCTCACAACATGAAATATCTTCTTGGCGTGCAAAAAGCAGATGGAGCAGCAGAGATGAAAGTGGTATGGCACGTGTCAATAAATGTGACACTTTTAAGCAAACCACGAGTTATCCTTATATACATAAATTCCACAAGAATTACCCCGAACAATCAAAGTATCAGAAAATTCAGCTGAGCCCACCAGGTTGGCTGCCACACACTTGTAGTTTCCCGAGTGGTGAGGACAGAGTGCCGTGAACTTTAGCTCCGAGTATCGGTCACCTAGCTGATTCACCACCACACGAGGATCCACACCCTCCTTCTCACTCACTACATCTGTGGCTTCATCACCAGGACCATCGAGTTCAGAAGTCACATTATCATTCACAGACAGAGGTCCACAAGAGTCCTCTATGGGATGCCTACGTTCGCGCCGATCACCTGGGGCCTGCCACAGGTCATGGGGACTTGAATCCATCCTTGCAGGAATGACGGGCTGACCATCCTTATACCAGGTGAGGTTAATGGGAGAATCCCCAGCCACAACTATGCAGTGCACCAAATACTCTGATCCTACATCAGGTTCACCAGCAACCACAAAAGGGTAGATCTGTGGGGGTTCTGTGATCCACCAATCACAGAGTTTTAAAATGCAATGACAAATCTATAGTTGAAATAAAACAACTGTATGGTTATTTAACACAATTAGAATACCTATATAATAATATAAGACATATGCATAATGAATACAGTATAGGTACTTACTTACCTTAATTATTCATACTTTTACACAAGTTTTGTGCCATTAAACAATGACATAAAACTTCTGAAAGGCAAGTTGGTTAAACAATGCACAAAAGCCTATCTCAAGGAAAATCTGTCTTGTACCAAAATAAAATTAACATTAAAGTTACTCCTTCCTCAAAAATAATTTCCTCTTGAAAGTGTTATTGAACTTTAAACAAATTATGATAATTTTTGTTATTCATCAGCTATACATAAAACTGAGTACTGTAATGCACATGTAATTTTTATAAATAATTCCTAGCATGAAGATAATAATGCCTAAGATGCCTACAGTGTACATCACTAACTGGAAGAGCAGGAACAATATCTATCTGGTGACTCATCACAGGCAATGGAAATAATAATGTAAGGTACAAACCCTGAAGAGTTAGGTCAAGATGTGATGATAAGAACTTCCTTATAGTTCTGTACTGCACTATAACAGTCAAAATAAAAAATAAATAAAAATGTTGATAAGTTAATTATCTTTTTCCAAACTCAAAGTCCAAATACTGTTACAGGACTATTAAAGATGTCGTTACAAATTGACCTTAAACATCCATCACATCTAAATATCTGAAGACTTAATTTTACTGTATCACACTCACCTTTGGAACAATTAGGACTAACTAATTGGATTTTGGATTAATAATGCTAGTTCAACATTGCCTCGAAGGTCACCAGAGATTCCTATTTGAAATTTAAATAGAAGCAATCAGTACTTACCCATAACTTGGACATCAAGATCGCCACGAGCAGTGTATCCCTGACTGTTGCGAGCCACACATGTGTACCTTCCCTGATCTGAGTTACGCCCAACAGCTTCAACAATCAGTGTGCCATTGGTGAAGGTCTTCTGACGACGGTTGATGGGAAGCATTCGGCCAGCTTGGTAGAAAGTCATCTTTATCAGTTATGAATGACTAAAAAAATTATTCAACAGTTACTTTAGCAAATAATCTATAAACCTTTAGTGATTATTGTTAAAAAAAATGTAATTCAATGTTCCTGTTTTTTACAATTCATTAATTTTAGTACAAGCTATTGTACTGACAAAGACTAATGAGAATTTTATGTACTGTCGACTATTGAAGCATAAATGGAATGTTACTTGATATACAAGAGCTGAGATATAAACACTGTAGGAGAACAAGTAGGTGGACCTAATTCCTAAAATACACATATCCACAATCCACACATTCGTATCGATATGTCAAAGTCCATTTATAACGTTCATCACAAATAAATGTTTTGATAACTCACTCTTCTCCCAGACAATTGAATCAATGGGGTAGCCAGCAACAGGGCAGTGGACAACCATGTTCTCTCCAGCAACAACTGCAACCTTGTCCATAGGCCTGTTGGTGGAAAATAATAGTGAAGTAAAACCCGACGAGCAAACAAAATTAAGAGTTAAACATATTGAGTAATGGAACATAACGTTGACTGACCTGACATAACCGAACCTGAAATAAATCTAGCTACATTCAGCACAAATCTGGATGATGCATGAACAATCAGCCTAAAAAATTGTGATTGTACCATCTCCTCACTCTCAAATGAATATGACCCAATGATATGTTTGCCAAAGAACTGTGCATAAAAACTTGACTACCACTTAAGTGAAAAAGCTTGCACAAAATAATATGCAATTATGCAATTTGCTTGAGAAAACACACAAAGAGGAAAGGAAGAACTTGAGAAGGGTATGAAGAGATTAGCTGGTTAAAGTATTAAGACAATTAAAAAAAATATGACCAGACAGCTATCAAGTGAAAACAATGTACAGTATTCCCTTAACTCTTCCCATGGTGGTGCATCCAATGTTTGGATATCCATTAACCACAAAATTTTAACTGTTTAATGTATAATATATTAATTTCCTATCTGCTTCCAGGTTAAGTATGACAGTATGAGGTCAGAACTTATAGCAAAATAATATCAAGATCAAACTTTAGAAATTTAATTAATAAATATTGTAACAATCTTGTCTAAGAAACAAGAATGCCCTGGTACACAAATCACCCACTTTAGAATTATGGATTATGGTTGGTCATCATAAAATTATCTAAATACCTTATGTCTTCATAATGAAAAAGCTAATAACCTAAAATACTCTTTATCAGGTGAGAGAGTCCAGGTATATAAGGAAATACTAATTCTGAGACAGACACACAGTAACAGGAACTTCCTAAAGATCTTCTACTAGTTGTGAAAATTTAGACTGATAATCTGTACTGTATCACAATTATAGGTTCACTCTTGGTAGCACTTTCCCACTATTAGTGTTGGGAATATACAGCATAACAGATTCTCCCTTCACTAAATGTTAATATTTTTTTTCAATACCATCACAAATGTGCTCTATCACGGTGTTCCCCACACATGAAGAAGCCCCCATGATTCTTCTTTGTAACTTATACAAACCAGGAGCACATATCCCTAACATTATTTGTATACATCAATTGACATTTTACATTCATGTCACACAAGTACACCACTGCTTTATGGATATCCACCTCCCTACCCTTAAGAGATAGTGGACCATCAATATGGAAAAATCATAAACTAAGACTAAATCTCTCATTTAACAATCAAATATTTATGCCATGGCTGAAAAGTTAAAACAATTAATTACTTTGTATATGAGGAAAACTTTGTCCTTACCTAATGTAAGGCAATCCGTAAACGTTGAGTCGGGCTGCATGTTTGACTGAACCTACAGTGGAAGAGGCAACACAGGCATAGAGGCCACCATCATTTGTGTGAACTGCAGAGATATTCAAGTGGCTCACGACTTCTCCATTAACAGTCACGTACTGGCCAACTTGCATCCTAAAAAAAAAAAAAAACATTAAACCAATAAGTTAAATGCTTTAAATAACCACAGTTATTTTTTTAATAGAGTAATTAATCATTTACATTCAGTACTTAATTTTTAATAAGAATTTGAATAATGACCTAAAGATGCAAGATCATTTTCTTTCAAAATAAATCCTTTTCTCAAAAAGCATTTATTGTCATCACGCTATTTCACTCAAACTTTATAAATCCCTTAAACTGCCAATATACTGACAAAAATGCAAATTCTCAATGGCAGAATAATATGCTGTAACAGATGTGCTGAGAAAAAAATTCCAGAAACCTTTCAGAGTTTGAGAGGCGGGTGCCATCAAGTTCCCAGGCGATCTCAGGAGTTGGGTTTCCGGCTGCCACACACTTGAGGAACACTGAGGGTCCGGGCTGCAGGGTGGAGGTCTCAAAGGTGTATGTCAGTTGTGGGGGTTCAACTGTAAAAAATATTGAAATCATTCATTTGCAAACATTTAAAGATTTTTTTAATACTGTACAGAATATCACTGGGTGCACAAAAAAAAGTTCATTCAGGTGTAAGCACATAAAATTTATTACAGTAATAGCATTTATCACATTTAAATTACATAAAAATCCTTATACACTCAGTAATTCAAAACAAAGTTCTACATTCTTAAATTTGATCATCCTTAAAAGTCATTTAGAACTAAGCATATTTTCTCTACATACATCGTCCTCCAAGTTTAAGTTCAGCTGTTGCTTGAGCAGATTCCTGGTCATTCCTCACGAAGCACTGGTACATGCCCTTGTCCTCTCGTCCCACACTGTCAATGCGCAGCACTGCTTCCTTGTGATCTGATAAACAAATTCAATAAAATAATGAGTAACTGTATTAAGGATCTTGGAAATTATAAAATGTTCTATATAGTTCAGTACAATGCTATCAAAGCAAAAACAACTACAATCCATAAAAACAACATTAACTGTATTTCTGTCTCTAATTAAGTAACAAATCATCGTCACTCGGGGACTTTAATAACTATCATTACCAATGGCTCTCCCACATATATTGTATAAATATCAATATGAAAATTAAATTTTTATATTTTCTCTCTTTAATGACCCTGTTTAAGTAGTCACAAGTCCAATCCATATCCCTGAATACCCCACTGAACTAGCAAGCTGAAGTCACCTTATATATATTTCACTTTAATCCTGATACCCTATACCGTTCTATACCTCTTCCTCACTGATAATCACAATATCTTTGTCTTGCACTACACAATGTAACTGAACCAACTCTTGGACATACAATCTATGCCAATTAACCTCACTCCATTAGTTTAATATTTGTGAATTATGTTTCCTTTGATGGAAGACCTAATATACTGTACATCTTCAGGTCTCTGAACACCTATGCTTGTGTCTCTTACTCAACTGAGGTGATTATACTGTGGTGGACATGGAGACATACATCATTTCTCATCCTTCTCACTGTTCTAGAGATTGGCTTGATATTGAATGTTTAGATTTGAATATCAAAGAGGACAAGATATTTGCTAAGCAAGAAACTCCATTTGATCTAACCCACACAGGTTTTGCTGAAGCCTATAATAATCAGAGACATTCCTGTGTCTGATGCTCCAAACACATATGATAAAGCTATATTTCCTGCCTCTTAGTTCTTATCTTATCTGGCTACTCCTGACCCTCCTAATTAACACTTCAATTAGTTTTGCCTTCTTCCTTCTCATAAACCAGATATAGTACAGGGTACTGTAATTTTTTAACCTCTATTTCAGCTGAATATTTATAAAACAAATGAACCTGATGGTATCCTGCCAACAATTTTACAAAAGTGGGCCACAATCCTTGCACCAATTCTGACACATCATCTTATTTTCAAAACACAAATTATTTTTTCACCTCAGAAGCAAACAATATTTCAATCTGTACTCAAGGAATGTGACTCTACTGATCCCTCCAACAACCGCCTGAATGCTACTAACTCTTCCATAGATAATAGTCAAGTGTTTTATTACTTTCCATCTTCGGTCTTGTCAGCTACTCTCATGTTACTGTACCAGTACCCAGTATGGTTTTCAAATTCTCAAGGGTGACCCTCACTCCTCTCTCTCTCAAACCATATCATTCTCTTTATATAATTTAAAAGAATATATCACTTGTTATTTCCCCAAATTCTGACAGTACAGTTAAATGTTTTGCGCTCTGTCACCTTTCTTTAGTATCATTTCATTGTGACTGCTACTTAACAGGAGGGAAGGCATGGCAACAGAGGTATGAATGTACAGTACAAGCAATAAAGTATATATACTGTACTGTATATATACCTGTACTGTACTGTACAGTATACAGCACCCCTATATATAAAAAATCATAAACATATTCTGCCATTTTTTGAAGAGACAAAAATTCATGTACAACATACACAATGTAAGATGTTTAAAATAAGACTGTAAAGTCCAACTTACTGATAGGTTCACCATCCTTAAGCCAGGTAACAGATTTGACGGGGTTGCCGCGGTATGTGCAGGTGAAGGTGGCAGGGCGACCAAACTCAACAGTCTGTACACTTGGTTCAACCTGAGCACTGAGGGGAGCTGCAGACAAAGTAAGTATAATTGATAAATTCATATAAACCGTCTCAAAACCAGCTTAAAAGAAAATCCAAAATCATAAACACTACAGTATACAGTATTCTGTTCACTCGAAGCTTGCAACTGGACCAAATAAAAGGAAACTCGTGATTGATCAATCATGCTGGGAGAGTAAGAGTGGGGTTAGTGGAATTGGGTGGCACTGACCATTTAATTTTTTTTTTTTTTTTTAAGATACTGTATCCACTTTGTCAATGCATCTCACATGACTATTTTACTTCCTGCGCTTCAGTTATCATTCTAGATCAACACATAACTGTTAAATTTACTTGCAAGTGTAGAATATAAAGAACAGAATTTAAGAAATGAAGAGCTCTAGTTTAACCAAATGCAATGCATTCTACCCGCTATCAGCTGCATTGATAAAATCTGCTCCAGGCTGTGATTGCACACACACACACACACACACACACACACACACACACACACACACACACACACACACACACACACACACACACACACACACACACACACACACACACACACACACACACACACACACACACACACACACACACACACACACACACACACACACACACACACACACACACACACACACACACACACACACACACACACACACACACACACACACACACACACACACACACACACACACACACACACACACACACACACACACACACACACACACACACACACACACACACACACACACACACACACACACACACACACACACACACACACACACACACACACACACACACACACACACACACACACACACACACACACACACACACACACACACACACACACACACACACACACACACACACACACACACACACACACACACACACACACACACACACACACACACACACACACACACACACACACACACACACACACACACACACACACACACACACACACACACACACACACACACACACACACACACACACACACACACACACACACACACACACACACACACACACACACACACACACACACACACACACACACACACACACACACACACACACACACACACACACACACACACACACACACACACACACACACACACACACACACACACACACACACACACACACACACACACACACACACACACACACACACACACACACACACACACACACACACACACACACACACACACACACACACACACACACACACACACACACACACACACACACACACACACACACACACACACACACACACACACACACACACACACACACACACACACACACACACACACACACACACACACACACACACACACACACACACACACACACACACACACACACACACACACACACACACACACACACACACACACACACACACACACACACACACACACACACACACACACACACACACACACACACACACACACACACACACACAGTGAACCCTCACTTTACGCGGTCAATTGAACCCACGGCAGCCCGCATAAAGTGAACAACATAACATATGGGATTAATTGAAATAGAGACCGGGCCGACCCCCAAACTCCACTTTTTCAGACAAAATACCTACGTTGTAGTAAAAATAACTTCTTAATTTTATGATGGTATGCACACACAATTAATAATTAGGAGAAATATCAATAATATTAGGTTTTTTAACACTTACATTAGTAGAAAAGATGGCTGGGCACACAGGGATGGAGGGTTGGTTCTGAGGCAGAGGGCAGATTATTGGCCCTCACCTGTATCACTTGTATCAATTGTATCACTATCCACCACAGAGGCTTGCAGGGCCTCTTTGTCAAACCCCTCAAAGTTCATATAAGTCCATATCCTCACTATCATTATCATTATCACTGACTTGGGCCGGCTGTGGTGGGTGGCGGGTGAAGAACTCGGTAATGTTTTGATGACTGGGAGGCCTTGTGCGCACCCTGCTTGCGCCGATCTCCGCGTAAAAGGGTACACACACCGCGGAAAGTGAGCATTCCGTGTTCGGCAGGGTACCGCGTATACGTGGAAACGCATAAAGTGGGACCGCGTAAAGCGAGGGTTGACTGTACTGTATTGTGTACACAAAGCTATAGTTACTGATATTCACAAGCTAAAGAAAAATGTTTTCCACCTGTCAACTCACTTCATAAGACTACCGAAACACAGTGGATGCTCAGAGTAAAAAAAATGGTTTATATGCATTATGCTATGATGGCTGTCACAAGCTTTCTTTGTACAAATGATAATGACTGGTCGAATTATAATAAATTGACAGATTTCTCTAAGTGTTATTCAGTTGTTTTTGACTATTGTATTGCAGGTATTATATTCAGTCCAAGAAAATCAATAAAATAGCAGAAATTCCAAATCTGTCTCCACCTGTCTGTGGATGATGAGCTTAGGTATCTTATTCAGGCACGAGTACAGCATTGTACTGTATACAGTACAATGCTGTACTTGCTAAATCATAAAGAAAAACAGACAAAAGCCTTAATTCTGAAGAAAAACTCTGATGTTTTAACAAAATAAAAGTAATAAAATTCCAGAAATGTCTAATGTTTGCTATCCCGTGGGGGGAAATATGGGCAAAAATACAGAATAAGGCATGTTTTCTGGTGTGGACTTATATAGTGATAAAATTTAGATGTTTTAATGATGAATATACAGTACAGGTACTTCTAATATTATCAGACCAGAAAAATAAGAATGGCACTATATCATATTTTGTTTAAAAGGAGGCAAAACAAAAATAGCAACAATAACTGGTGTTATACCATTTAATAAATAATATAGTACAGTGTACCTAGTGCCCATCTTGTCAAAAACCTTTTATATAAAAAACATGTACTAACCTCTAACACTTCACTCATCCATTCACTCTCACCCATTCACTGACTCGCATCACAAATACTGTATACACTCATTTACTAATACTGTACAATAAATGAACATGCAACAATATTGTACACAATAACATAAAACCTTACCTGTAACAGTCAAGACAGTCTCAACACTCTCACCACCAACTGAGTTATTGACAACACACAAGTATTTGCCAGAATCATCAACCTTTGCTTCACGGATAATCAGGGTGCCTCCAACTTGCTTCACACGTTCTCCCAATTCAACTGAAGCCTTGCGACCATTTTCTGAGAACTTGAACCACCTGCAAAAAACAGTTTAGTTTAGTCATGTAATCTGACAGTATGTTTCACCTCTCATTTACTTGAAAATAATTTTTAATAAGAAGATTTTATTGTAATGTTTAATATAATAATTTTGTCAACTGTCTTAATACAGGTAATACAGTACCCTCTTAAGTGCTGACTGACAGTTTCCTTCAACATGAGTTTTACTAACTTAAACTATACAAGAAATGAGCTTCACAAAGTTTACACAAATCTTTCAAATACTTGATGTTGTTATTAAAGTTATAGTACACAGGTTACTGGCATATCCAGGGCATTCTGCAAAAACAATTGTAAACTTGAATAAATATTCACAATTATACATAATGTTAACCAAGTAAAATATTTAACTTGATAACTTTCCAATGACAAATGCAGTACATGTACTGCACCATACTGGATGCAGTATACTGTATACTAATGTACAGTACCATTAAATTACATAAAATAACAAAATTACATGGAGAATAAAAAGTACATACAGGTACTATCCTGGTAGTGGTATACTACAATATAGTCAGCAACAAAAAACACAATACAATACTGTACACAAACACAATGAAGACGAAACAAGAAAACAAAGGCGAGTATTAGAGACAAGATGTCTGACCAAGTGCATCTTTGCATCCAGCAGGGACCATAACCTACCGGTGGGAAGGGAGTGGATAACCCTGCAGTGGACACAACAGAGTCAGGGCAACACCCTGAGAAGCTGTTACCCTAGACAGGTCACTTCCTGTCAGCCGTGGTGCAATATTACCAACTGGAGCTAAAATATGGTAACACCAGCTGTCACTGAAGTCTTTAATATCACTTAACCTGTGTTGTAGGTAGGGACCCTTGGCTAGTTTCAAAATTATCGTAATGCAGAAAATGTCACTCACAGTGAATGATTTTAAAACAAATGTGCTTATAAATGTGCAATGACATGACCTATTGACCTAATCTCTGGCATGCCACGAATTTGTGGTGCCATTTTGAGACATACCTGTACTATACTGTACTGTACATGTTCATTATTAGCATAAGTTAGCCTAACCTAATATGACTTTTGACAACATAAACGACTTCATACTTCAAAAGAGAACTACTATGTCTGTGCTGTCTTTAAACAGACGGTGTTTAATGACAGCTATATAGCTTGGTTATTCATGTTTGGTTTCCTCAATTCAACTGAATTATTTATATAAAATAATAAAATAAAGGTTGTTTAATGTATCATGACTTATAAAATACAAACTTGGGTATAAATATCAATGGTACGTATATGAGACAGGTTATCTTACGTGTAGGAAGGGATGGGGTGTGCCTGGCTGGGACAGAACAGTGTAGGTGATGTTGACAAGTCAACAGTCACCTCAGAGAGGCGACTCCCAGTAACCCTTGGTGGTACCCGACTTTTGGGCTCTGTGGTGGTGTTGGGAAAGTGTATCTTTATCAGACACTACAATATAGCTTTCTATATAACAGAGCCTGAATGCCGGACGATGTTGAAGAACACGTGCATAATGGGTTACAGATAACATCCCCCAAATGATACTATTACACTATCATTATGATGTAACTGATGTTCTGCTCACTTAAGCATGTATTTACAAGTTAAAGCTGTCAAACTGCTATTATACTATAGCCTTTTTGAGTAAGGTGCAGGACGGTCTTGTACAGGACATAGCCTCGGCCTAAACTCAAGGACAACTAATGATCGTCGGGCTGTTGGTGAACACTGAGGCGCACGCCCTAACACCCTGTCCAACAAGGGCCCGACACCACCGGTCCAGCTCCCAAAGAAATTCTTCTAAAAACTATTAGTGCAGTATAGTTTACTTTCTACACGCACCGTAACAATTATTATATTCTTTTTTATTACAGAAAATTTGTTTGTTGCCATCTCATTAGTATGAATCATGTGCTTATAGAAAAATTACTGCTGTATTTATGAGTGGAGTTTACAGGAGTCGAGGAAGTCACTGCGTCGCAGGTACTTTGTTCCAACACCTTAAGAATAAGTTGAAGTTTGAGGCATTGTATTAGGTGTTGCTATCTCTTTCATCATGTTGTTTTCTAAATTACAATATTTCTGACACTTGATTAGCGCGCATAATATTTTAATACTAACATACTACAGCCAAGGAAGATACTGAAAGCATGAGTTGTCTAATGGTAGACCCTGTGCCATTATGGCATCATAAAAATTGTGACCAAGTCCAAGGTTGCTGATCTGACCGACTTTCTGCCTTGTTTACACACAATTACAGAGTTCAATTGTTTCTCTAACTTTAACAACACAACATATGCGTCGTTTCTTGCTCTTGATTTTAGTTTTGTATTTCTTTATGGTTAATCCCTGTAAAAAAATTAATAAAATAAAATCTATTTGTTCTACAACGCTATTTTATCGGTTGCGTAGAAAAAAATGGATGGCTCTCAATGTGAGGTCTACTGTAATTCCTCTATAGGAAGCATCATCTTGCAAGCGTTGCTTTGACCTAAACTAACCAACCAGTTTCTCTTGCGTGGTTTAGTCAATAAAAAAAAAATGCGGCCAATTATTACATAGTTAAATGGACAAGACATTTCCACTCTGCAGCTACTTGGGTAGCGTAACAAACAACTTTTCGTTGATAAATTTCTCATATACTGTACAGTAGTTTCGGTACAAAAGAAAAATAAATTATTACCACACAATAAGAGTACACACAAAGTTGCTTAAGAGGTTTCATGACAGCTACGTCCCTCCCTTATGAGGGACTCCTTCTTAAGGCTCAGCCACTCTTATAAAGGGCGTTATTATATAATCTTTACCTGCAACTTTCAGCGAGATAAACGTTTTCAATTTCAAGTTCCGCGAAAGGCAAAAGAAATAAACATTTCTGGTGAAGATATGGCACCGCTAAACCTTAAAGACCCTCCTTTTATCTCCATAACTGTTAAAAGTAGACCCACTTTTCTACCTAATGTAGAGTTTTAGGATCCATAAATTTTACCTCTGATAGATGGAAACTATATTCATACGAAAATAAAAATAAAAACCTCTATATGCCCCGGGAAATAAACAACAGAATCCACATTTAAATTTAAAATGGCAAAAAAAAATGACCCATAATCAAACTTGATGTAAAAAATAATACTCATCCCAGTTGGACCGACCTTTTATGCAATAATGAGACTTTGAAGTAGTCTATTTCACACAAGTTCTATGAATTATATATGCCTTACTGTCAACTCATTGCAATATTACCCTTAAACCGTCATAAACCAATGAGGCAAGGGTATGTAGTACCCCTGCGGAGCCTTACGTGTAGAGGGGCAGCGGGTGACCCTGGGCTGGGCAGAAGAGCGAGGCAGAAGATTGGGTATCAAGGGTGACTTCAGGGACCCGGGTCCTGGTGACTCGAGGAGGAACCTGACTCTTTGGATCTGATACCACCAATAACTCGATGTTAGCAATGCGACAACAGTTGTTATAACTTAGTGCAACAAGGGAGCCCTGGCGTGGTCCTGGTACAGTGTGATTACTTTTACCTGTCATTTTTTATCTATATACATGCGTGCGAGAGACGTGAGACTGAGAGGAATAACTATTAATCAAGATGAAACAGAAGATTCCTGGAAGTGTTAGCAAAGCTAGATATTACCTGAACTCTGGCTGAGGGAAGGCCTGACCCGTGCACAGCATCGCGAGGCTTGACCCAGCCTCACGTGACAACTCCTGAAGGCGGTCTCCTGATAACCTGGGAGGGACGTGACCTGCAGGAGCTGGCCAAGGCAGGTAACAATTATGCCCCCAGCCCACAACACGCCAGCTAACACTAGTAACAAGTATAAAGACGGCTGCCGCCTGCCATGTGGGATAAGGCATTCAACAACTCTGTATCACGGCAAGTGACGGTATAAACTCTAAGCAGTTTACACTTACATTTTCACTATATTTTCAAGTATACATTATACCGCCGAGACTAAAAACGATTAATTTAACCTTAAAATAAGACGATGCAAACAACTTACGACCAAATATCTGACCATAAATTTTTTTTTGATGAGGTAAAGCGTTCTTGAGTGTTCAAACACCATTAAGCCAAGTACAACAACAACTTACCATCATATACTGAAGTGTTAACTCCGTACAAATCCAGTAACAGGTTATTGTAACAAAGTGTGGCGGGTAAATAGCAACAACGACAAGAAGAGTGAGCGGTAGTGGAGCCGTTGACCCGGGTTGAGCGCGTCGAGTGGTGCGGCTTTAAGCTGAGACAGGAGGCGATCGATACCCACGTGGACTGAGAGCTCCAGCGGATCTCTACAACCTAGGCCAAGGCCCACGTCTCGTGACACAGCCTTTCCCGCCCCTCCATCACACCTTCTGGCCAAGAAGTCTCAATATGTTACATCCCACACGCCTTGTGGATCAGATTTCTCAAGTTCATGTTGATAAAGTTATGTTTTGAAGTTCGACGTTTGCCTGCTTTTTTTTTTCATTCACAAGAGAGGACGAACATTTCCGTATACTATCGTTCGCGTTTCATATAGTTTTGTTTTCCAGGCACAACGGCTGTAGTGTTGCGTTCTACTGAAAACATGGAAGAGTGGCATTTCAGTATAAAATTTAAATACGCTTTCTATAATACGATGTCCCACACTAATCATAAGAGAAAATGCCGGCTCAACAGATGAATGATCAATTATTAGAACTAACATTAAGAACAAGTGTTATACATACCATATGAGTCATCATAACTAGCTGTGCGCTCCCTACAATGGCAATGAACGAGGAGCCACTGACTTTACCACCAAAATTGCGCGCGTAAATTGCGTGGGGCTGTACCTCATGACCCGCGCCAGTTCATTCACTTTTCAAGGTCGACACCCGGCCGCTGACTTTGTTAAACTATTTGTGAACTAACTTATTCAATATCACACAATAAGCTGGCCATTTAATGATATCAACTGGTAATGATTGCTTCCATTTTCTTGCTACTAA